ACAACAAATTAGTGATGGATGCCACCATGCTTTGGTAGGCTCTCCTTGATCAAACATGTTTGTATTTCTCAGCTTGAATTTTGTGAGACATCTCATTCGCTGTGTGGTAGTTGACAGAAAAAGCTTTGTGCTCGGCATTCCGGATGACGGGTGTGTTCCCAGAGCACAGAGACATCAAATCGCCGTATTTCTCCTTGCTAATTTTGTTTGGTTCTTCATTTAGTTATTTAACTTCAGAATGAATTAGTTGTGAAAGTTGGGGCTTCAGCGAAATGGACCTGTACTGCTCTTCCAGGTGACTGTTTCTTAAAAATATTGTTGTTAGGTGGGCTTTGTTCACCCTCACTTCCATGACCTTGTTCCAGTTCACGGGAACACCTGAATCCTGATTGTCCTTGCGGACGTTGAGAACTTTCAGATCTTCTGACAGTTTTTTTGTAGTTTAGAAAGTCACCGTACTCAAGCGGGTGTACCTTGTACAGCTGTTTGCATCGGGCAAATGCAATGATGGGAAACAGCTGTGATAGGAGAAACACATCCCCAGCATTTCCCAAGGCCGTGCTTATAGCACTGTGTGCTGAGTCACCTTCGCACTGCCCATGGAACAATTCAAAGTACCTGAGTGATAGTTCCTCTATGTGTGCTGAAGTGTTGATCATGTGGAGCATCATGGTGGGCATGATTGTGTTTTTATTTTGTCCCGGGCAGCCATCGGCGAACAAGTAGACAGTCTTGATGCCTTTTTGGTCTTATTCCCTCAGTGCCCTGCACACTGTAGTTGATATCTCAGAGCTGCCCTTCTGCTTTGGCCTTCGTACCAAATGAAGCAATCACATGTGTGGTCACCCAAATTATAAAATGTCAAATTGATATTGGAAAGTCTCCTCTTGTAGAACAAAGCATCATCATGTGAAATTGGCAAGTATATGACCTGTTGGAGATCAAAGTTCCCTGCCAGAATGCTGTGGTCGGCTTGAGCCATCTTCTTGCAATCCTCCTTAAGTTGTCGCACCTTTTGTTATTCTGCTTCGTGCCTGTTGTAAATTTCCCTGAGTTCATTTTTCTGAGCTTCGTCCCCTTTTCGGAAAAAGTTGCAGAGTGAGCATTGGTCCTTTTTAAGACTATGAAAGGCCAGGCTTTTCCTCTTGAACACTCGTCTGTATGTATAAAAACTTGGGATGTCATTGCATGGGTTTTCTTTCACGAACATGTCGTACATTTTGGACAATGTGAGGTCTGGGAGATACTCTTTGCTGGAGGAAGCCCTACAGTAGTGGAAATCTGTCAATGTATCGACTGATTTTCTCCCTGTTTTGTTCTTATCTTGTCTCCATCTGCTCCGATTGTCTGCCCCCTCGTTTGTCTTCTTCCACAACGCCGGTCTCCGTAATCTTTGACAAAACAACTCGGATAAATTTCTCTGAAATACCCAAGGTTGCAAGGAATGTGTTCCTACACACTTTCAAGCGCTTTCCATTAACTGTGAGGTAATAAGCATGCGTTTTGCTGCGTCGAGGGTTTGGTTTCCCGACCTTGGGTTCTGTCGTCTCAATATGCCTCGCAACGAACTCTCGCTCCTTCTGCAGGTCAACCAGTTTATAAAGGTCCTGAAATATCTCCCTCCTATTCGTTTCTCCGATTCCAGAACGTACATTCCATTCCAACGCAGCCCTTTCTCATCTTTCGTGCCGGCGCTGCACTTTTCCCTTTCGTCAACCCGCAGCCACCTCCCGAATCGTCAGCCACCTCCCAACCTTTGACACGGGTCAAACTTCATCTATTTTCAGGTAGTTACCGGAACATGTATAGGTGAAGTGATGTGCCGTGATAGTCGCGATATATTATTTATTGAGATTGTTTTGGTCTCTCTTTACTCATCACCACGAGAATTTCTTGAAGTTTTCCCCTGGACTCTGCCTTTACTAAAATCTCGAATTTAGATCTAGATCTAGAGTTGTAATCTAGTGGCAGGTTGCAGATTTCTGTTATCCAGTACATTCAAGAGATTAAATCAATTAGACTAGACTCTAGACTCTAGTAGCTGACTCTTCTACTTCTACTTCTAAACCTTCGAAATTACAAAGGCCAAGCCTAGGCTTGTAAGGATTGTTGTTTAACACAAAGTCTAAGAAGTTAACAAACCTAACACATTTTTTTCTAACGAAATGAAGCTTAAATTGACTTTTATATTGTCAATAAGAGATCAAGTTTAATTACCTAATCATTTAAGTAAGGAAGTGGCTATCCTCACCCGGGGTGAGAATAATAACCCTACGATTGACCTCTCACCCTGGGTGAGACATGCCAGCGTTGGCTATTCTCACCCAGTGTGAAACAAGACCTGTTTTTCCTAATTTCGAAATACTTTCTATCGGTGTGGATGATCAAATTGACAAAAGCAAAGAAAAAAATGACGTCATAGCACAAAAGTAAGCTAATTTGATCGTCTACAAAGATGACGTTATAGCACAAAAGTAAGCTAATTTGATCGTCTACAAAGATGACGTTATAGCACAACAGTAAGCTAATTTGATCGTCTACAAAGATGCTATGGCTCTTTCACTTTTCGAATCGAGCCGAACTACGCGGGTCGCCATTTTGTTTTGCCGGAAGTTCTCGCAAGATCCACTCCTCCCCCTTCTCTCTCTCTCTCTCTCTCTCTCTCTCTCTCTCTCTCTCTCTCTCTCTCCCCCCCTCTCTCTCTCTCTCTCTCTCTCCCTCTCTCTCTCCCTCTCTCTCTCTCTCTCTCTCTCTCTCTCTCTCTCTCTCTCTCTCTCTCTCTCTCTCTCTCTCTCTCTCTCTCTCTCTCTCTCTCTCTCTCTCTCTCTCTCTCTCTGTGTGTCGGCAATTTATCAAATCTGCAACCTGCAACTAGATTACAACTAGATCTAGATTCGAGACTTTAGTAAAGGCAAAGTCCAGGGAAAAACATCAATTAAATTCGTGTGGTGCAGATGAGTAAAGAGAGACCAAAACAATCTCTCTATTGCGACTATCATTGCACATCACTTCGCCTAATACATGTTCACCCTGGGTGAGACATGAATAGATGGACGTTTGATCCATGTCAAAGGTTGGGAGGTGGCTGACGATTCGGGAGGTGGCTGCGGGTTGACGAATGATCAAATTGACAAAAGCAAAGAAACTCTTCGCCAGATTGTCGCTTTCTTTTTGCATCGTTCTTCTTGTTGATTCTCTTTCGTTTCTTTGGTGACGCTTGACGGGCTGACCCTTCAACTTTCAATGATTCTGGTAGCCGTTCGATGCTACTCTGGGTCTCATCTGTCTCAAAATCATTGTGCGTTATGGATTCAGTGTTTGTTGATTGCCATGTTGACTACAAGATTCTGGATCTTCTAGGAAATGATCATAGCAAAGGAGAACTAAACGACTTGTTCTTTAGCTTGTACTCAGACTATTGGGGATTTTTCTTGTGTTTTACGCCCAGAATGGCAAGTTCGCATTTCAATGACAGTGACTCCGACAAAGAAGATTTCTCGTTGGCAGATTGTATAATGCAAGGGATGCCATTAGAAAAAGCAAACTTGGATCAAATTTAAATAAGATCTACTTTTTGTCCAACGAATACGTGCATCAATACAGGATTTGCATAGTGTAGTGCTGCTCTTACACGAACAGCGGGTTGAATTGAGCAGTTCATCTGGGGCCGGAGCATTGTCAGTTATCACTGGACTTACATTGATGTCACTCACGGTAATGTTGTAATCAACAAAGTCAAAGACATGTACTAACCTGATGATGCACTCTAAGGGCATGGAATTGTGCGGCTCTCTCTGCTGGAGTCGTCCGTTCAAGTGGCACGTACTTTTGGGAGATGAACCGTTGATATCGAAAATCAGTAAGGCGCAGGTTTTGCGGTCCACTGCATTAAAGGAATGACAAGAGCTATGTCTGTTATATCCTTACTTTGACATCTGTTTGTCCAAAAATGGTGGTCTTCTGTTGCCAACGCTCTGACTTTTGCAACACTTGAAAGCCATAAGCTTACCCATGCCGAAAACAGCAGACTTTGAGTCACATCCTGACACGGCATGTGCAACCAGGATACAGCACTTATGGTCAATGTAGCTGCTTGAATAGAAATTATGAGGACGTTACTTCGCTTCAGATATGTAGACTCTCATGTCCTTGCTCACATGATACAGAAGCATTACCAGTATATCTGTATCGTTAACCAAAACAACTTAAGCTACAAACTGTAACACCTTTCTCTCAATGGGTGCATCCGCATCTCTTTCTTCAGCATGAGCAACACAAATGTCCTCTTCTTCTAATAACGACCCTCAGAGTCGTACCAATGCTTGCTTTTTCTGAAGGTTGGTAGGAACGAATCTTTGTCAGTCTACAGATTTGTGATGTGATGCATGTTCCGGTAACGACCTATAAATAGATTGAAGTTTGACCCATGTGGCTGACGATTCGGGATGTGGCTGCGGGTTGACGAAAGGGAAAAGCGCGTCGGCTCCTTCTGTCTCGAGGGACAATGGCTGCGCCTGTTCGTCACTCCAGAACAGTGCTGTCATCCGTGTTGTGCTCTCATCTTAGATGAGACTGGAGTGAACTCTCCAGGCCGCAGGCCAGGGCGGAGGTATGTGGAGGTCCAGTGCTGCCCCGACGACAGGGCCCCCCTCTCAGCGTTACCGGCGAGGTCCAGTGGAATGCTTTGCATTACATTTGGAGCCGATAAGGCTGCAGGAGTTGCCAGAAAGAAGTCACGACGGTTGGGAAACCTCCTCAGGGACTCCACTCCAGATTTTCTTTCTGGATTTACTTCCATAGCCTTGTCCTTAATGGACATGGTCGCAAGGCCGCGGGGGTTTTAAATCAGTGTTTTCCTTCCCCTAGACGAACGAACTGCCATCGCAGGCTGTCTACCTCCGTCTATTCGAAGCAGCTGGTTTTGAGGCGCCAGCGACTCGCCTTTGCCCTCCTGTCAGTGGTAACGGTTCCGTCGCGAGAAGGCCAGTAATTCCGGTTAAAGTTTTCAATGCATCTGTATACTGAGCGACGATGTGAGGACCAATAAAGCCATTTCATTTTAGCCGATTCTTGGTGTGTTAGGTTGATAAGGCCACCTTGTGTTTTTTCAGCTCGCATATGACATTATTCAATTGTCATGTCTGTCCACATTCCATAACCAATAGATCTAAGGCTAGATCTAGATCTAGAATTGAGATCTTGATCTAGATCTAGATAGATTATATCTAAATAAAGCTAGATCTACCCCTAGAATCTTTTTTTTCTTCTAATCTATCTTCACATTATAAAAACATAAAATTACCAAAGAAAAGAAAACTTTTTCGTTTCAGTTGTTCAACCTTAAACGCCTTTACAATCTAAACGATCCAGATGAAAACTCAATTAACAGCTCAATTTGTAAATGAAAGTAACGAATAGGCTATAAATTAACCAACAATAAGGAGAGTCCGAATCATTGTACATGTACATGTATCTTACAGTCGCTACCCAGTAAAAAGAAACCTTTACCCTAAGGGCACATAGACTCCGTAAATAAAACCATGTTGCTCTAAAAATACTTTACATGTGCTTTTTTAGATCTAGATATAGATCCTTTAAGAGTGTCATTTCATCGAAAGACACCGCAGAAGGGATTCACAACAAGACCGGGGTGGGTGGGGGGGGGGGAGGGGGAGGGCGGGGGTGGATTGGCGTACAAAGCGCACTGCACTGATTGTGCGACCTCAGTGCTTTCTACCACATCTTAAAAGAGAGAGAGGGAGAGAGGGGGAGAGAGAGAGAGAGAGAGAGAGAGAGAGAGAGAGAGAGAGAGAGAGAGAGAGAGAGAGAGAGAGAGAGAGAGAGAGAGAGAGAGAGAGAGAGAGAGAGAGAGAGAGAGCATACAAGTAAACAAGCTGGCATCAGTGCACGGCTTATAAATGAGGATCTAGATAGATTCAACAACTACTGCTGCAAGTGGAAACTAAAAGCAAATTGCACTAAGACAATCTACACCGTCTTTACAAAAATCCACAAAAGTTGCAAAGCAAAATCTCACCATCTCACTTGCAGGAAACAAACTAGAAAAAGTTGAAAACCCGACCTACCTTGCGATCGAGCTGGACAGACAGTTTTCATGCAAAAACCATATCTGGAACCTGAAGACCAAGGCCAACAAGAGACTTAACCCAGACGACTGGCCTAGCACTTCATGGGGAGCGGACAAGGATGCACTCAGACAGCTATATGTTGGCTATGTACGCTCTGCCATGGAATATAACCTAACCTTACAGACAATCTGCAGCAAACCAACTCAGAGGTCTCTTGACAAAATCCAAAATCAAGCTGTACGATTTATCACGCTGGATCGGAAAAGTAAAGTAAAAATAAAGTGTCTGAGTGTGTGTCTGTTTATGTTTGTGTTTATAAAGTGTGTGTGTGTGTGTGTTTGTATGTGTGTGTGTGTGTGTGTGTTCTCTGTGTGTGTGTGTGTGTGTGTGTGTGTGTGTGTGTGTGTGTGTGTGTGTGTGTGTGTGTGTTTGTTTGGGGGAAAGGGACGAGAATCACTGTGTTGGAACAAGGCAAGAAAAAGGCGTTCAGTCGGTGTTTTCCTTGAGCAGAGTTTGGTGGAAAAGAGGCGTTCTGTCAGGAAACTCTTTTTTTTTTTTAAAAGGTGTTTTGTCAGCGCAACCATTTAAAAAAGGAATTCTTGAATGTTAATTTATTCAAAAACTAGTCACCGCTTTGGTTTTTTTCACACAAGTTTTCACAGCTCAGACTATAGAATTAGCAAATTAAAAAACGTTCGCGCCAAAAGTTTAAAAAAGGCGTTTTGTCAGCTCAAGGCAGAAGGCGCTCAATCTATCTGGCCTTTAGTTTATTATTCTCTCTTATTAGACTGATGAGCACTGAGCCAGGCCCAGCCCTCTACCCTAACAAAAATGGGGGACGACCGATTCAATTTGTTCTGCAGCTCTCGCTCGTGATATTACCAAGTTCGGCCAGTTCTGTTTCCGATGTGTATTTCACTAGGAGTGCACCAGAGAACAATTTCTGAACATTCGTAGGAATGTATCCCAGAACATGTCTTAGTGCCTCTCCAGGTTGCCATCTCTGATCTTTTTTTTCTGCGCATCGGTGCTGCGGAAGCTCCGTGGGAACAGGGAGGGTAGAAAAGGCCGTAAAGGTCCATTTTACAGAAGAGGTACATGTAGATGGGTTTGCTCGGCCCGGCAGCGCACACGCTTCCGTAAGCCGAGACTTTTTGCAATCATTGAGAGCTGGGGGTTTTAGATTCCATGTAAAATTGTAGATGGTTTGACTCCGGGGCCACCGGGGCCACCGAGCCCAACAAAGGGACACATGGCTCGGATAACCAGAACTGTGCAGGCTACCCCGAAGTTATAGTCTCCACGAGAGTATAAAAGACACTCCTGTCAAGATTGACTCGTAAGGGGTTTCAGCTCCAAACCGATTGAGTGGCATGGGCTGTACTACCCTTCCGTCTAAGAGGAAAACCTGTGCTAAAGAGGTGTGTTGGTAGGGGACAGTCCGCAGACTGATCTCACCTCAACTGCCCTCTGCACGGGTCGTACCTCACGATGTGGGATGGATGTACGCTGTTCATTGGTCGGCCTCCGCCGCCGGCCGCTCAGTTCCGATGTAAACAAACTGTAGAAGTATTACGACCGAGCAGTAGGGGGTAGATACACTGTGAAAGACATGAATACACAAAGATAGTACATAACAAGATGGGCCACTCAGCCAAAAAAGTGTCCGCCGGAAGTCCGCTCTTTGCTTCAGATGGCGCTGCAGTCTGTTTTGAAGATCTCTTTCGTTATTCCAGAAGAAGAAGAAGAATAGCACCTCCGAGCGTGCGCAGATCGACTGCTGTTCATTAGCAGTTCGGGTTCATTCAGCGCGGAGTTTTAGGTTGTTTTTTATTTTAATGACCTCACGCCTTTCATTCTAAAGTCAAATTAAACGAAGAAAACAATCACCCCTTCCTCTGGAAGAAGGTTTTTGTCAGCGTAACCATTTTTAAAAAGCGTTCTTCCAAAATGTATCCAAAAACTTTCACTTTGACTCTTTAAACTCAAGTAGAGTAACTCTGTTCGCAAAGGGTGCGCATTTGCGAAGAGGGCGCCACCGAATTTTGAGGACACTTTTTTAATTGGCTCAAAGAGAGGAGTGTCCCCTCTTGTTAATTAGACTCTTTGGAAGACAGTCATTATATTGGCCTGAATTTATCACGGCCACTTCACAGATGGACAGCATGTCTACCCGGCGAAGCATCCTGGTGCGTTTACTGGGTAGCCATAGCAAAAGGAGAAACTGATCCAGGCCCTCATCGCAAAATGATGAGGACCAGACTAGTCTTCTGCATAGTCATTTAAAGCCAGTATATGACAGACTGTCCTTCTACTTCACTGCCTGGGTC